TTTTTTTAAAGAATATAAGTCTGATTGAGTCTGTTGATCCGTACTGAAATTTAATGGAACTCTAGTTAACCTGAAATTCGACTTTTCCAGGTCAAAAATCTGCTCGAGCGAGTGAACCATGCAATTTCTAATGGTGACAAATGGTAGATTTTTTTTTCAATTCACTGTTTTTATTATCAGTCAGCTGATAGTCACAAAATGTTGAACGCTTATTTATCAAGACTTCATAATCAAACAGCTGGTGCTTCCATAAGCTTCGAACTGTCGCAGTGTGAAGTTCGCGATGTTACTGAAATACACCCGGATACTGGTTATAGGTTGCCGAGATTTTCGCATCCCATAAGTCGTCAGCTGCTAATACCAGCCATCGTTACGCTGAGTGCATGGTATTTCTTCGTAGGCAGTTGAAGTGGTTGCTTTTTTTCAGGCACAGTTGCATAGATAAGTTTAAGCGAATGAGTGAGATAATAGAATTGAATGGAATAAGCGAATTGATCAAGTCCTGTTGACATGAATGAATGCGGCAAGTTGAGAATGGATTGAATGAATCGGTCAGATTGAGTTAGGATCGAGTTAGCTGGCCCGGGTGAATAGACTGAATGAATCGATCAGAATGAACAGGAATGAGGACTGTATAATCAATTTATATGATGATGATATGAAGAACTAACAAAATTTAAAAAAAGCAAGCGAAATCAAAAAAATAGTAATTATTATGAAAATCAGAGATAACATAAAGATATGGAAGCCACGCGTATATCTTGCTGAGAATAGCTGATATACACAAAAAGCCCAGCAGCAGGTCATTTTTTCTTAGCCGTTTCCTCCCAGTCGTACGGATCAGATAGTTTGCAATCGCAGACACCGGCTGATGTCCTGAGTAGCTCATAGATGTAGGAATAATCGACACGATCCTCATAGTGAAGCGCATCAATGTAATCCATAATTTTGCCGAATTCCTCCTTACATTTCACCCCATAGAACAGTTTATCACGATTTGACCTGGCTGCCTCCTTTACACGCAACACCTCCTCCTTGTTCGAGAGCCTCTTCCACGGCAAACCGGTTGTGATCAGCAGATCGAGTAGCAGGTAAAACCACGATTCACAGTCATCCTTTGGACCCAGCTCCTTTCGCTTGTGACATGCGATTGCAGCAAATTTCACGGTACCTTTGAAACCAACCGTTACACGTGGTGTCTTGAGTTCACCTTTGTCATTCAGTATGCGGCGTGCAATGCCAAAATCCAGAATATAAACACATCGTACAAACTCTCCCAAACCAATGGCATAGTTGGCGGGTTTCAGGTCACGATGGATGAAGCCATGCTTATGGAGATCCTCAACTGCCTCCAGACATTGTATTGCCACTCCCAACCCGGTGTGTATCGAGAATACCTTGTGCGGTCGGGCTGCTTTCAGATCCGCCAGAGATTCCCCAACAAGCTGCATAACAAGAAAGAAGAATTTTTCCTTCTTCCCCCGGTCGATGATCTTCGTAAAATGTGACTTTTCGGCCCGTTCGGCCGAGACAAGTTTCAGGATCGCAATTTCCATTTTGAGCTTCGAGTCCCGACGTGTCTCCAGTTTCCGCTCCACTTTCAGCGCATAATTTAGCTCCGCATTGTTGGCATCATGGACTTTGTAGACAGCGCCGAATCCACCCTCACCCAGCAGCTCATCAATGACATACTTGGCGCGTGAGGATTCGATCACCGATCCTTCCTTAAGATCCAATTCCTCTTCCGTGCTCTCCACCATCGCTCAAGCAGTGGCAGTCGGCGCCTCTTAGGACGTAAACCGGACAAGCAGAGTGCAGAAGAGAACAATGATGCTGTCGTTGAACTCAACTCCTTATATAGTCCGCTAAATATGCATGCTAGATATTTTGGGAAATTTGCATATCCCATTAAGAAGTGAATTTGTCTAGGAAACTTGCATATTCGCTATTTGATAATCATCGTAGTTCGATAATCATCATTTTCGGAACTACAGTTCGATAATCCTCATTTTTGGCTATTTGGGCCGAGCGTTAATCCCGGGGATTTTAGGTACACCGAGTGTGAGTGAAATTGCCATAATGGAATGTTTTTCTTCAGCTGCCTTCAGTATTTTAGGAAAAATGTAAAATTTTGATATATAATAGACAAATATCAGACATGAAGCTTACATAAATACGGACATTGTGCTTCATAATTTTTATATCTGTTTACTGATGTTCAATTGCTAGACTATGTGCAGTTTGTAGTAAATTTGTGTAAAATTACTCTAAGTTTTTGGAAAAGCTATGGTTTATGTTGTGGTTTTGCAACTCTGTAGCCGGCATTTTTTCTCATCATTTTGACCAATGCTGCGTCGCTCAGGTGATTAGCCTGCTGGCTGTTCTTATTATAAATGTAAAAATATTTAGTTTCCCATGAATAGAGAATTATTTAAATAGGCATTATGAATTTTGTAAATAAATTGCAGTATAACTGTGCCTTAAAAGTATCTCGTACCTATAAAAAATGATTTTTTTTT